ATAAAATGTGAATTTATTATACAGGTATTCCTTGACTTACAACCATTCGTTTGGTAACCATTTGAATTTACAACGGCGTTGAAAAAAAAGCGACATGACCGTTTTTCACACTTGCAACCATTGCAGCATCCCCAGGTCACATGAGCAAAATTCAGATGCTTGCCAGCTGGCATGTATTTCTGACGATTGTGGAGTCCCCGAGTCATGTGATTCCCCTTTTGTGACTTTCTGACGAGCAAAGTCAACGGAGAAGCCAGATTCACCCAACAGCCATGTTGCTAACTTAACAACTGCAACGATTCACTTAACAACTGCGGCAAGAAGAGTTGCAAAATGGGGCAAAACTCACTTAACAACTGTCTTGTTCAGCAACAGAAATCTTGGGCTCCGTTGTGGTCGTAAATCAAAACTACCTGAAATCCATGTGTTGACTACGAACCACCAAATCTCTCGTCGAAGTTTTCCAAATGCATGTCAAGAATGACACTTTGGCAGCCACCTGCCTCTTTGTTTCAACTTGCTATTAGAGTAAGGGGGCAGGTGGAGGGGTTGCTTTAGAAGGGGTTAGGTGGGGAAACGAAAGCTCCACGATTCTGCTGAAGACCCGGGAGAGCCTGAAACCTTTTCAAGGAGATCGTAGAAAGGGTGGAGCTGAAGCAAACAGTTCCCATAACAAAGTGAACGTGTTTACATGGACTACATGAGAGGCTGGGGCTTTGGCTGGGAAAAGTATAGTTTAATTCTATAAACTGGTGTTTGGGAAACTCAAGAGTTAGTTTTGCTTCGACATTGCCACGCAGTGTATTCAATAAACAGTAAGATTTTCGGAAACAGAATGAACCTGGATTCTCGGAATGAAGCTTGGATTCTCCAGCCAGATGTTGACAATACATTCTGCTAGTTTGCATTGGCAACGTTTATTTATTTTGAGTTCAAAGCTTTTATAACCCCAGTTTTCAGCCTGAAAGATTCTTAGGCAGAAAGAAAAGGTGACAGGGAGAGAAAGGAAACCTATGTAAGTCACTATATAGTACGGGTTAATTTGCTAGCTGCCAGCTAGGGACAAAATAGACTGATCAGGAAAGTGCAACAGACCCCATCGTTACTAGAGCACGGTCTGTTTTTTAATTCCCTAGAGGAGAACCCAATGACTCATGTGAAGATGACCTGATGGGTTCAGCAAGCCACAATAACAGGGGGCCATAGGGTAGCCCCGAGGACGCCTTGCTCATAACTCACATCATTCCCTTCTGGTAAAAAAAACTGCTGAGAAACAGAGATGACAGTTTCCTGTTATTTCCACAGAGAAAAAGCAAGGAAAAAACAGGCTAGTCCTCTTATCACAACAAGAAAAAACAAAAGGAGCAATGCTTTCCCAGCCTTATGGGAGGAGGTGGGGAACCAGCTCATCCTCCTTCAGGAATGTTACTGCAACCTCTGATTGCTCCTCAATAATAATAAAAGTGCAAGGCTCCACCACTAAAGGCTGCTGTGTCCCCTTCTAGCCCAACCAGCTCGGTCGCTGGATAGCAGCCAAGGTGTGCCCGAGCCATTCACAGGCTTCTTGCAACAGCATAGAAAGAGCCCTGGTGGGGCAGTGGTTAGAATGCAGTATTGCAGGCTAATTCTGCTGACTGCACGAAGTTTGATCCTGGCTGACTCAAGGTTGGCTCAGCCTTTCATCCTTACCAGGTCGCTAAAATGCAGACCCAGATTACTGGGGGCCATAAGCTGACTCTGTAAACCACTTAAAGAGGGCCATAAAGCATTGTGAAGCGGTATATAAGTCAAAGAGGTAATGCTATTGTTTTCTGTCTGTCTGTCTGTCTGTCTGTCTGTCTGTCTGTCTATCTACCTACCTACCTACCTACCTACCTGCCGTGGTGGCCCAGTATTGCAGGCTAATTCTGCCAACTGCAAGGAATTCTATCCTGACTGGCTCAAGGTTGATTCAGCCTTCCATCCTTCCGAGGTCAATAAAATGAGGACCCAGGTTGTTGGAGGCCATATATTGACTCTGTAAACTACTTAGGGAAGGCTGTAAAGCACTGTAAAGCAATATTTGTCTAAGTGTTATTGCTATTGCTATCCTCATATTTTCAAACTAACATGATCATATATATACCTCAGCACAGAAGGGGTGTATTTCCAGCCTTGTTTGCCTTACCAAATACCAGATTCAAATTTCTTAACAACAGGTTCTGTGGGTGTGGTCTAATTTGTGGGTGTGGCTTGTTGGTCATGTGACTGGGTGGGTGTGACTTGCTGACTGGGCATGGCTTGGTGGTCATGTGACTGGGTGGGCATGGCTTGTGTGTAAATATTATAAATATTTATGTAAATATTGAATTTTTTATTTAAAAAAGAGCAACTTTTACCCAAAATCAGGCAAAGCGGGCAGGCAGATTGAGTTGCTCACAGAATCATTCAGAGATATATCTTTCTGCCATCGGCTACCTGAGTCTGCACTGGAAAGTAGAAGCTTCAGTCCTAAGGAAGGTTCGGCTCTGCTTTTAGATTAGCTAGAAAGCAAGAAATTAAAGGATTTAAATTCAAGGATCTAAATCTCCCGGCAGAGCAGAACAACTAATGATCGGGGGGGAAAAAAGATAAAAATAGCAACTCACCAAACCAGGCAAGTTGGATAGCTCGCATGCCAGGTAAGGGGTGAGTGGGTGGGGCTAGACAGTGGAGCGATTTGCCAGTTCTCCAAACTATGCATGTATGCAAGAAATCAGCGGTTTGCAAGAAATCAGCTGTGCCATCTGATAGCTGACAAGCACTGCGCGAGAGCTGAAAATCCTCGTTTCCTGCTTTTTCAACCTTAGCTGTGCCACGCAAAGCAGTTGAGGAGGGAAAAGCAGGGAATGAAGGACAGCCTAGAGCCCGGGCAGGTGGGTGGGCGAAACACCGAACTGGTTTGGTGTCAACTGCTCTTCACAGCTACCGGTTCTATAGAACCAGGCCAAACCGGTAGCATCGCATCCTGCCAAATGCCCTTAAGAACAAGTCCATCTCCAGCTTTGCGAATAGGTTGCTGTAAAAAACATTGTTTAATTTTGGGACATTTGATAGAGAGAGGCCATGTTTGTTATTTCTTCTGCCAAGACCCGCTGAATTTCTGGACCAAGCACTAAGGAGGAATAATTTGGTGGTGGGTGTTAACCCTTGTTTTATTTCTTCTCCTGCCTCCTTTTCTACCTCCATCTGCTCCTCCAGGTGGCTCAAATCACCATCAAGGAATTCTGTGTATTTACCTGTCTCAAAGGTGGCCACCAGGCTAGGGGTGTTCAATCTTGGCAGCTTTAAGACTGGTGGATTCCCAGCCAAGGGAATTCTGGGAGTTGAAGTCCACAAGTCTTAAAGCTGCTAAGGTTGGACATCCCTGATTTTGAGAGAAGACTGATTCTGTTGTGACAACTATGACCTCTGAACCCCAATGCTGAATTCCTTCCACTCACTGCGTTTTCCGTGATATATTTGCCTCTCATGTTAGACCTGTGGCTTTTCCACTGCAGCTGTCTTACTATGAGATACCACATCTGTCCAAATGACCCAGGGCC